TGGAAAAATCTCCCGTTTTGATGTATGCTTAACAGATGAAGCTACAGAGGAACCTCTAAATAACGGACACTTTGGGACAAGCAGTTTTGTCCTTTATTTAGAGGTGTCCTTCATGAGGAGGTTACTGCATATTAGCGCATTACTCAAATTCTCTGAACTTATTAATGTTTCATGATCATTTTTAAAATGTCTAGTGCATGCATGAACATGTTATAAGTTAGGGGATGTAAAGTATGAGTCAAGAATACTTTGTTTGGTGTTAAAGAATGTAGACAGGCAACTTGATCAATTAGGACACTTGTAATATTGGCTTCAGTGAAGCATGATTTACTTTCCAAAAAGATCTTGACTTCCTCTAGTGACTTATACAGTACCGCTCAGCTATAAGTTTTCGTTTACACGAGTAATCTCCAGCATTACCTGCGTTCCACACTGGTGCAATAACTACACGAGTGCACCACAACACGAGATAAGTACATGATGTAAATGATAAATACACGATACAGGTGCACCTTCACTAGTGCAGCTTGGATACATAGCCAAGCTGCACCCGTGTCGTGTACAGAATAAGTAAACTTATAGCTGAGCGGTACTGTAGCTTCTGCATAATTCTTTAGCTTAGGTGGAGGTGGTAGAATGTCAAAGTCTTCTATATCAGAAAGATCGTTACAAGTAGATGCTACCTCTTCATGAGAGAGACTTTCTAAAAACTCCTCATCCCACTTTTCATCATCAAATTGCACACAAATTGGTAGATCATTGTCTCCATTTAAATACTCATCAGCTGAGCAGCCATTTGTACCCACTGTCTGAGTAATGAGCTCATTGAAGTCACTGTCGAGACTCGCAAATGGGTCATCTTCATCTATTATGTGAACTTCTGACTCTGAATTAAGCATCCCAGCACTTTTGAAACACTTAGTTATTGTTTCTGGTTTCACTTCATTCCAGGCCTGGGATATCCATCTCACTGCTGTCAGTACATTAATTGATTGTGCTACTTCAGAGGCAGAAGTGCATGTATCAATTCTAGCAAGAACATAATGGAGGAGATGTCTACGGTAATGAACTTTGAAGTTCTTTATTATTCCTAGATCCAGTGGCTGTAGTTTTGAGGTTGTGTTTGGAGGCAGATAGATGATTTTAATATTACTATATTTAACTTCCGGTCATCAGGATGACAGCCAGCGTTGTCCATGAACAGTAATATAAATCTTCTCTTTCTGATCAAGGTTCCATTGAAAGCCATCAAAACTTCATCTAATAGCTTGCCTGTCATCCATGCTTTACTTTGACTAAAGTATCTCACTGGTAGCCTACTTCTGTCAACCCCACAAAAACATCTTGGTTTTTAGATTTCCAAATTACGATGGGATCTTCTTTACCTCCAGCTGCATTTACCATAAAGGCTACAGTGACTCTGTGCTTAGATTGCTTTCCACCCTTGCATTTACTTCCTTTCTGGCCAAACCCTTGCTCAGGTAGAGCTCTCCAAAAGCATCCAGTCTCATCTAAATTATATACATGTGTGTATATCTTCTTTCTTGTATCCTTCCAAAATTTCTGGCAATCTCTCCTTCCATGAATCTATAGTAACTCCACTGACGTCACCTGACTCTCCTGAAATAGCCACTCTCCGGATATTGTACCTCTTCTTCCACTTCTCTAACCATCCATGACTTCCTTTAAATTCTGGTTTTCCTAAACGCTCAACTATTTCTTTAGCTTTTTCGACAAGTTGTGGGACACAGGGGTAGATATTCTTTGAACAGGCAAGTAAATACCACTGGTAAAGAGCATCATTTATGTCTGAGTATTCTGATACACATGCCCTTTTGTATGTGCTACATGAGGACAGTCTTGAAGATCATATAATGTAATGATAGATTCCTTGTTTCTCAAAATCTCAGAAAACTAGAAAGAATTTTATTATTATTATTATTCAGTACTTTTATTATTATTATTACTATCATCTATCATTGCCACACAATAATGATAACACAAAAGGACCATAAGTGAGGGAGAAAACTGACAGAGAACTAACATAATGCAGAATTACTGAGCTCCTTATCATTAAACTGTAGATAACTGTGTCTTTCCACAGCCAAATTGTTCTCCGAGAGCACGTGCTGACATTGATTTGTTCTTTTCTGCCTCCTTAATAAGTTTAAACTTATTTTCCAAGGAGAGATGATGTCGTTTAGCTGTTGGACGAACAGCTGCAGAAGCCATGATGAAAATCCAAATTTCAAGCAATGATACATGAGTTTGATCACGTGACACGTTATGTGAAAGGAAAGCATTATGGCATCTCAGCCAGTAGCAAGTGGTACGGCAATAATAAACTCTTATATCAGAGGCTATCATGCTTATATGGAAGTCTGGACTCCTAAAATTGGTGAAGTTTTAGTGGTCAAACGTGAAGCAGAGAATCCACATCATAGGTATGCTGTTGCCATAATCAAAGACGGTGAAACTGTCGGCCATGTCCCATATAACTTTGCTCCTATAGTGTCACATTTCCTGAAGAGAGAGGTTAACAAAGCATTTGTAGAGGTCACTGGAGATCGAATCAACAGGGGAGGTGGTTATGGATTAGAAGTTCCATGTTCTTATAAATTTTATGGACCAGAGTCTTATATCACGAAGATAAAGGAAGTAGCGGCGTCACTTAAAGACAAAGGATTGCTTTAGCTATTTATATAGATCTTTTGATAATTGTCTAAAGATAGTTAAAAGTACATAGTTTTAGTTTTAGTCTAGTCTAGATATTAACCACACAAATTATATTAACCACACCCACTGTCCGTTTACGGAGGTCTCTTTATGTGTAATTTTTCTTGATGGTGCACGGATGACTGTCCGCTGTCCGGAATAGAGAGGGTCCGGTATACAGAGGTTTTATTTGTATTGCATGCATGGAAAATTCAATTGGTATACTTGGTACTGTCCGTTATAAGGTAGGTTCTGTTACAGGGACTGTCCGTTAACAGAGGTTCCACTGTATTTACAACTCCCTGAAACAAGCAGAGGAAAGAGCTAAATCAGCAGCTACAAAACTGGGTATGGCAGATATGACCTCATACGAAAAAGTAAATGGGACACTCCTCCAATACCAAGTAATATAATGCAATGCGAAGTTGAAGATGACGAGGAAGATGAAGATGAAGAAAAAGCAATAGAAGATGAAAATGAATTTGATACTGATTATGCAGGTACTGATATTAGTGACAACCTAGAAAGCTAAAGGAAAGCAATGTTATTGATAAAGAGCTATTTAAAAAAGGAACGACAAAGGTCAAAAAAATCTGTACTCCTTCAGTAGGTATTCCAACTTACGAAAACAAACCAATGACCCAAAAACAAAACTCAATATTTGTACAGGTTAATATACGGAATAGGAGTATTTTGATTCGTAAAAGCACAGCAGTTTGGCTGCACAATGATGGGGAGAGGGTTTCGAGTGACAGGATCATTCGTGTGCAATCTACACAACCAAATGAAATGGATAACCCATTAAAGCTTACATGTCACTCAACATGTAGTACTGAAGTACAGCAAAATACACCAATCTGTATTGACCATATAGTGGTAGATGACTTTTGTGTTTTCAAAACTGGTACTGCACCCAAAATAGGGAAGGCTCTACAATTTATCAAGTATGATATTAATGGCAAAAAGATTCAGTATAGTAGCAACTATGCAACAGTAGAAGACAATTATGGTTTATTGTGTACTTGGTATAATGACAAGGCAATGTGAAATGACAGAAACCACAGAATGCATTGAAAAGGATAAAATCGAAACAACAAAACAACTAGGTTTCACATCAACTCTCCTCTCTCTTCCTGACAAATTTACCATTACTTTAGAATGTTGTAATTTCATTACCTCTATTTGTACCTCTTCTGAGAACTCACTGCCACCTCTTTCACCTCCCACTACAGGTTTAGTCAGTTTACCAACTCCCTCTGCAAAAAAGGGCGATCCTATAGTTATTCCTGATGATGACCCTAAATGTAAGAGTTCACAAAATATATCGATTGAAATTGGTAAACTTTGTTTAATAGACAAAGATAAACACATCATTACAAATGGAAGACAACTCACCGACATACACATCTCAGCAGCACAAGCTCTCCTAAAAATTATGTTCCCTCACTTAAATGCCCTACAGAGCACTTGTTATCAGAGTAAGAAACAGCTGAAGATGACTGAAAATATGTTACAAGTCATAAATGTTGGTACGAATCACTGGGCTGTGTTTAGCACGTTCTACTCCACTGCATTCTCATAATTTAGATGAAGCGTTAAGCGTTGATTATTATGATTCGCTTTACTCTAAGTTACCTGAAGATGCAGAAACCAAGCTTTCATTTCTTCTGGGTCACAATTCTTACTTTAAAATTTCCCTGAACTGTATTCCTATATACATACATAAAGAAGCTGGCAATACAGACTGTGGTCTGTATGCTATTGCAGTGGCAACATCAATTGCTCATGGCGTAGATCCAGAGACACAGGTATACCGACAGGATGAAATGCAGCAGCACCTTCTTATTTGTTTTGAGAAAAAGCAAATGACAGTGTTTCCAGTGATGCGTACAAAACATATACGTAACACCAGTCCTTATACAACTATATTATATTACTGCCCAGTATGCAAGAATGCCGGAAGACAACGCCAGTACAAAAATCGTAGAATGTGAAAAGTGTGGAAACTGGTTTCATGAAGTGTGTACCACCATTTGATATAATAGAAACCTGGTACTGTAAGATATGTTTAAAGACATAACCTTCATATCATACCTAAATGACATATTAATGAGTATTAGATACTTTATTACCTTATATTGAAAAAATAATTGATAAAAATCCAAAAAAATTCATGAAAAATTCAATAATCCAAATGAAAATCCAATAATCCAAAAGAATAATTCAGTAATCCAAATGAAAATCCAATAATCCAAACTGAAGAATAATTCGATAATCCAATAGTCCAGAAAGTAATCAAAAAATCCGGATAAATCCGGTGGATTATTAAATTCCGCACACTTTCAGAGGTAGTTGGCTAGTTGCGGACCCCTCGCTAAAGGCTCGCTTGCTTATGCTTTACCTTTTAACACTGAGCTATCTTCTTTCTGTCGTTAGTTTCGTAGTTACTACAAATGGATTTGGAAAGTGAGGAGATGCTTAAGGAAGTATTAAAGGAGCAAAAAAGGTGAAGCTTTGTTGTTGATGATTTTTATTTATCCAATTTTTATCAGTAGGCTTCTTGTTCTACATTTTTGGACAACATGGTCTGAGCCTAGCCGACACATTAATGAAGCTCTTACTGATTTGTCTCAAACCTATTCACAACATCGTTTCATAAAGGTTGTGCTGTTTTCATTACTTTCTTGTTCTTGAGCATAACTGATTCCAGATAGAGGCAGAAGAGCAAAGTCAGGTATCCTTAAAGTACTCTGTGACAGCTGTTCCAACTGTTGTATTTGTCAAGGTACAGTCTGTGTGACAGATTATATTTTTTTTGAAGATTCATTGTTTCCCAAAATCAGGGTAGGGTCATGAGGGCGATGAGCATTGGAGGGGGTAGTTAATTATTATTCATTCCACCATGTACATGTATTTATAGTCAGTTTCAGTTGAGTTTGATTGATAAAGCATCCTTATACCGTAGGTTGGGATATATTCGTGGCTGCTTATTTTCGCAATTTTTTCCCGCACTCAGCAATTACCATGGTTACCAGATGCAATTTTAATTGAAAAATCTGCAATATTAATAGCAAAGGACTCTGTTGCAATGTTCTTGGGTTGTTGTTCTTCTTGCTGTTACTAATCCTTGGTCTCTTTGGAGCTCTTTCAACCAGAGCTACTCTCTTCACTCTGCCTCGCCATATCTTGGTCCATTCTTGGAACTCTCCACTAATTTATTGACTTGGGTGTGGTTAATTATCACCAGCAAGTGGAGCAGCAAGGATTTCCAGCAAAGAGCTCGAAGGTAGTGGTGCATACAAGAAGATAGCAGATGGAGAACTGGATGGCTCCCACTAAAGCTGCTAAAGAATAGATACTTAGCTGCTGAACACTAATTGTATAAACACTTGGTCTTATTGTCATAGCAACAATCAATTGGTTTCCATGGTATTTAATTGAACCTTTTTGTTAGTTTTTATTATTGCAAAAATAAGCAGCCGCGATTATATCCCGACCTACGGTATCTGTTTTGCTATCCATGCTAGAGAAGCTTGGTAATCTCTTCTTCTACATCTCTGGATTAATTTTTAGAATTTTTAGATAGTCTGGAAGGTTCTCAATAGGTTTTTCCAGTCTCAGACAAACGGAAGCTGCCATAATTTTGCATTGCGTATTCTGTTCATGAATATAATTTGTGTCTAATTGCGTTTGTCAACAATCATGTTTTATTAGTTAAAAATAATATAAAGTAAAAAGGAGCACTCCAGACTAAGAAATACATGTATTTTCATTTAAAAAAATTAATTTATGATGGATGAATATCATTATTGTAATACTGATATTTATTGAAAATACATGTTGTCTTAGCGCCTAAGGGGGTCTGTGGCAGACAAAGTGTGGCTTTCACTCCAGAAAAGAAGCCTTACTTTGTCTGCTATAAACGCCCTTAGGTGCTAATACTATTTCCAATCAGATTGCTAATTACTAGGTTTCCAAACTTATTAGATACCTCCCTGGAACACTTAGAAATTTAGCACTCAATCTGCACTCAGACAGTATACCTCCCCTATCATCATAAATATTAGAGTAAATGAAAGGGATTACAAACTTCCTTTCGCGTCTGGAAATGCTAGTTACCAATACCGTATTAATTAGTCGTATGTAAAATTGAAAATGGCTAGACAAGTAAAGTAGGTAGACATACAATTCATTAGTTTTTGGTGGCATGTTGTCTTATTTTGTACAGGTAACCCTTCATTAATGCAGACAGACACTCTTTCTACTTGCCCAAGTAGTCTGCTGTGGCAATCATGATGTTTGCAGTTGGAATTCATTGTTGATCAACACTGGCAATCACTAATCACCATAATGCATGTTTAAGACCAAAGACCATTTAGTTTTTAAGTTAAAGGTACAAAACTAACCTTTCGAACTTAACAGTACATTGATCATTACAGAATGACGGAATCATATTTTCAAATGTAACAAAGTGGATGACCTCCACCTATTGATGCTCTATTGAATGATTTAATTAGTTGTTATCATTTGTTAAACACTTTTAAGAAAAAGATACAAAACAAAATGTAGTTGCAAGTTGCAACCACTCCCAATCGAGAGCAAAAAAATTAGTGCAAGTAATGATGAATGCACCTGAAAAGTTGTCTGGGGATAAAGACATGTTTCCTCTGCTTTATTTCTCATAAATCTTGATGAATAATGACACTACTAACTATTGACAGCCTTTGACAGGTCACAAACAAGACGCTTGCTAAAAGTGAGCAGCCATTGCTAAGAATAGGGGTAACCTGCATCTGTTACCTAGCGATACACAAAGCCAATCTAAAAACACTGAAGTTTCCAATCCCTTTCATTTAGTCTATTATCTATGCTATCATCCCCTCCCTATTGGAACACAACTACTAAAGAGTGAGGCACTGGGCCCTTCACACCAAGTGGTATCATTAAGCTAAAGACTACATTTTGCGCAAATCATTCACAGAATACTTGGAACCTCTATAGTCTTTCCATAGACTTAGAAATGTGTATTTTACATGTCCTGCTAGTTTCAGACCTATTGAAGCAAATATAGCTATCAAAAAAGTGCCATTAAGTTAGTCATAATCAGGCAGCCTAAAATCCTTGATTTACAAGAGCTGTTCTTCTACATGTTTTTTGCCACATACAGATAGAACCAACTCTCCTCTTTGCTATTACTAAGAATGAGTTTCATTTGTGCTTCTGTTTAAAAAATACACCTCTACTTGCACGCCACCGTTCTGACTTTTTAGCCACAAAGCAAGTTTGATTTTTGTGAAAATCATTCACAGGGGTGCTGGGCCTTTGCCAAAGGGTCTGGTACTGTACTTACCTTTGCTTAATACATTGTGATTGTCCTTTGGTGCTTAGTCTTATTTTTATTCAGGCACTGATTATTAGGTGATATTTGGCTGTCAAAAGTTACTGGGCCCACGACTTCAAGTATTGCGCAGTGTATTAAGGGAGCGGGTGAACTTTTTAAATTATATTCATAGTTTTATTAATTAATAACTTATGCCACCCACGCAATGAAAAATTAAAATCAATTATTGCGTACAAGTAAACAGTTGAGAAAACGGTCTCTTGCGATCATGGACTCTTCTAAAGACTTCGGTGATGACTCAACCGGCTTTTTTCAAAGCCATCATTTCAGTGTTGATCCAACCGGCTTTTTTCAAAGCCATTCCAATTATACTGGAAGGAAGAGATCTTGTGCTGAAAGTGATCATAGTGATGAAACATACCAGGTACATATGCATGATAATTATTATTGTATCATTGAATTTTATTTAAATAATTATAATAGAGGATATGCGTGCTAAGTATATTCATTGCAAAATAAATGTATTCATTGCATACCGTAATAACTTTCAAGAAAAAAATTAGTTCGTTGGACGTCAACTTTCCATTGGCAACAATGGAGAAAAGATAGAAAAAGGCTTGGTACCAGGAAACTGCTTGTATTTCTTGATAGCAATCTTTCAGGTGACTACTAGACCCCGTTAGATCCTCAGAATGCTTTCTAAGCTTCCGAAAAAGGCTTCAAGAAGGTAGCAAGGCAAAAAATGTGTTTCTTCCCATTGAACTTTTAATAAACTTGACGTCCAACATGGCGGCCAATTTACTGTGTGGGTTGGATATACGGTACTTAAAAGCTATGAATATACTTAGCACGCTTATCCTCTATTAGGTAACACCATCAAAAAAGAGAAAAAGTACC